CTAGAACGTCTTCTAGTAAAGCCTTGTAGCTTTATGAACACTCTCTGTGAAATTTAGCTAAAGTTTTGTTGAAAACTTTGTCCGTAAGAGCGAAATGCAGCCTTTTTTTAGGCATGTTCAATTCAACATACATTTCAAACATTCTAGCTTCTACAAACTTGTCGTTTATAACTATGAGTCCATGTACAAATTGTACTCTGAGAGGGCAGGCTAAGCCTAAGCTTTTTGAGTTTTTTGAGCTTGTCTAAGTTGAATTTTAATCCAAATCTTTTGAAGAAGTTCAGAGATGAAATGTCCTCGTGGTTCATGACCTAATTTTATGCATACATGCTCGCAACACCCTGTGTAAAAGACATTAAATAATAACTCTTCGCTGTTTTGAAACTAAAAATTCATTATCCAATTTTTTTAGATTGCCTGAAGTTCGATCATTCTGACGGCAAACAGTACAGAAAGACCTCTGCACAGATTTGAAGAGACGCTCGCCTAGCTAGAAGTTGAAGCAAAACGAGAAGGCAAAGGCCAAATGAAATGCCTGAAAAATACAACTTAATACCATAGTCTGACAGTGAGGGAACGCTCGAAAGCAGATACACCCATCATCAGATTTTGCTCAGTCAGCCAATTGTGAATGGATATGTCAAGACCTGTCAAGCCACGACGCCGTACCATCCAGAAACCAGAACCAACGCGCCACACCAACCAGCCAATGAAATAGCCGTGAAAGATGATGTACATTACAGAAGGTATATTTTCCTCGTTGGTCATGTTCGAAAGTATGTGGGACCACCCTGAGGACACCCAAATGCACAAAACAAATTTAAATGTGGCACTTTTTACTTTATTTTCGCAATTTATTCAAATTTTTCACATTTTTTGGTGTTTGTGAAAAGCTCTTAACGAAATCGAAATGTTTGAAATTCGGAAGGTTCTGTCTGGGAGTTTGTTTATTTGAAAGATATTTGAAATGAAATTTTGAAATTTACATCACTTTGGTATTTGGTTTAAATGCTAGGTAAAATCATGCCAGATGAGTGGCCGACCATTCGTCGAGGTTCGGTGATACTTTGGCTCGGACTTTCCCGACCTACAGTTGAGTTGCCCTGATCGATTGTCGTGATCAACTAGCACAGGTGCAAGGTCTGGCCAACCTTACATCAGTGCTTTTTGTTCGTGGCATGAGATTGGGACAGCTCGCCTGTAGGCCTGGAAAGATCAAGCGGAAGTACCACCAAACTTTGATTTGTGACCGGCTTTTTGTCTGTATGGCTTTATCCAGCGTTTTCCCGTTACCATTTTGATGCAGACTTTGGGATTTTGGCTTGAATATCTTTAATATAAACATTCTTTGAGCTTTAATCTTTCAAGAATTTCATGGCTTTTGACTAGTTAATGTGTTTCTCGCAGATACTATAATTGTATTAAAAATATTGACCAAAAAATTTAAAACTGACCAAAACATCATTTGAGGTGTCGGATGGGAGGTCCAGTGGGAGTCCTAGCGGATACCAATGGATAAATACGGATATTGTGACACTGTGTACTATTGGACATATTGTGAACATTTATGGATAATTGGAACATTAATGATTACAACGAACACTTATGAATTATTATGAACATTTGTGGATAAAATGTACCTCGCAATCGACGGTTACCTACCAATGTACCTTGACAACGAAAGCTGCACGACGGCAACGAGATGACTGCCTCAAGGTTAGAGGGTTTAGTCTGGTAACAAGCAGTTGTTAGCTTGTTATCAGGCAGTAGTTAGCCTGCTATCAGGCAGTAGTTAGCCTGCTAACAGGCAGTATATCTGTACGATTCATACCCAGGACTCTAATTTGCATGTGGTCGATGAAGTCTCTGGGTTAACCGGTTTAAAATTCCTGGCGGTCTGTCTTTAGTAGTACATTTGCACGCAAGATTGATTTTTATTCGGATACTTGCATGCTAATAAAAATTGAGGCAGGATATTTGACCTCCGTTAATAAGAATTTCGACATCATCTGAATTGAAAGTCAATCTTAACGAGGTTAACATTTGAGCTTTCGATCACGTGGTTCGTTGCATGCACTCGGTTCGGTCATTGGTGGGTTTCAGTAAGTGTTACAATCCAAACGATTGTCAACATCGGAAATGTTGGCACTTCCTGGAGCAATTTATTTTGCTTCAAATACCAGACTACTACATAAAGTGAAAAGGAGTGAACATTATTTTTTCACTCTAGTAACTCGTAGTGAGACCCACTAGGTATTTGCGGTCTGTTCGTGCCAATGTTGTTCTCTTTGTGTAAATGTACTGCTTAGGTGTCTGTGCATGGATGAACGCAGCGCGCAGCTAGTATCCAGAATATAGGCAGATAAGTAAAACCTTGCTAGACTTAAAAATTTTGTTTATATCTATATGTTATGTTCATAAATGTATAGAAATATCATGAAATGTGTTAGGCTTTGGCTTGGGGTTAAATCTAACCCTATAACCTTAACCTTAATCCATTACGTGATCTGCATATTTGTGTACGTAATATATGGGTGTAGCCAAAATTTTGTATAAAAGCTGGCATAGTTTTCCTTGGATAGGATAACTAAATTGGATGCAAATGGTATCCATAGCTTAGAGGGTGCAAATGGTACCCGTAAGAAGATTGGTGGATATCGTGGTGGACAAGATCAGCTTAGGACTGTAATGACGAAATTATTGTAATGATAAATAGTCTAGGCTTTATTGAATAATAAATTGGCTGGAAATATCTTCGCCCGTAGTGCATGTATATCGCTGGTTTCGAACGTTAGTTTTCTGCCCCGGGTTATATGAAAACAGTTCGCTACCAGAGATTTAGGTCCCCTCACTGTTTTGACGGCTCGACGATGGAAGACATTAACATAAGGCATGCTAATCTTACCCCTGTTTGTGGAAGCTCACCAGGTGCGATCGGCACACTAGGTTAAGTTAAGCTAGGGGCATGACCGAGACTCCACATTCGGGGGTTTCCCTTGCAGGTTTTTGAAATGATATGTGCGCGCGCACTAGTTAGGAAGGTTAGGCAGCTAGAAATAGGGCGCTTTGCATGTATACCATAAGGCATATATACTATAACTCATCGTCTACTTTTGCGCCAGTAATTCTGAGAAGTATTTAGCACAACAGGAAAATGGAATCTGTTTTCCTGTTGAAAAATACTTACAGAACCAATTCAAAGTGGAAAAACAATATTGCGAAAAAAAAAAAGGAAAACCGCAAAACCACTTTGAATATAAGCAACAATAGTCCAAGAATACTCAGAGTTGCAGAAAAAAACAAAAAAGAAACAATTTTCTGCCTAAAATATCTTGGATTAGGAGCTTAACAATAAGAAACGTAGTTCTCGCTCCAAAATGGAGAATAGGCTCGTTTCTTTAGGTTGCTAATGCATTGCGCGCGCGCGCTTTATAAATTGTACTATAAGTTTTTAGTTGAAAAGGCCGCCAGGAGAATTAGAGTGTTTTCACGTGTTACTTTGTTGACGTACAAGCATTTTAAAATAATGGTTTTCTTGTTTACTTGTATTTCGGCACTTTAGCTTGTTCCCAAACATAGCCGCCGTGAAAACACTCTGCAGATCAAGTTTATATACGGTCGCAATAGCAATATAGAATGTTTGCCATGTTGCATTCCGTGTTGTCTTGCATTGTTCGTACATGAGCTTGGTCGAACCATGGATCATAAAAACACCATGGTCGTGCGCAGCTAATTAACATACGCGGCGCGCGCGCTGCTGTAGTGCGGAGTACAGTCAGTGAGTGTACTCCATGTGCAAATATAGTGACGTGTGCTCTATATAGTCTGGAGGTGGAAAAAAAATTAAGGTGCATGTTGATTAGAATAAAGTGCGCAACGTTTCATGCATATTAAAATAAACGCGCTCAGTTAAATGCTAAGTAAAATTAAGGGCATGATAACCAGTGCATGCTAATTTAAATTGAGTGCGCGCGTTGCAATTTTCTTGCGCGCGATAAAAGCAAAATGCGCCAAATATCTAAGTCAGTATAGAAATGCACACAATCACATCTTCAAAATGCATCCAAGTGTCCTAATTGCTTTTCCAAACTATTGTAAAATCTGTTGAGCCATTGGATTCATTTGCCACGCACCTTGTCCTGAACATATCTGAAATATTTTCAGGTTTCAAGGTTCAGATAAATGTACCCTTATGTGGAACAATTTGTTCATAAAAAGAGATACATTTGTCTTGCGCAATCTGTAGACTGAATTTTCGGGTCTACAATTTTTTTTGAACATCTCGTGAGATTTTTTGTTAAATTAGTTAATTAGAATGTCTCATTGTATCAGTTATATGATGTACAAATAATTATTACGTAAATAGATAATGTATTAGTAAGATTCTATATTTAATGAATGATGTAAATTAATAAATAGAATATATACGCTTTTTATATCCTTATTTTGTAAACACATTGTGAATTAGTGTAACTGCTACTAAATATATCAATAAACCAATAGCATTTTCTATTTGCAAGATTAATTGTTACTCTTCTGGGTTTTGGTAGGTATATAATATTATAGTTCATTCGGTCGCGCTGGGTTGCCCCCAGGGTTTTTCGGCATCCGGACTCGTAATCACCAAGGTTTTTCACCAGATCTCGCCACCCACAGCTAGCTGTCGATGGCACTTCTGGTTTTCCTCGGGTGATTACGTATTTTTTCGTTTGGCAAAATATCTAAAAAATCCAAAACAAAAAACAGTGTCTGTGTTCGGGACGAATTTAGTACTGTATAGAGAAAAGGATTATATAGCTGTTGAGGGCATGTGTCTTAATATTCTGTGAATGAAGTTACATTCTCTGAAATATGTGCAGTAATACCATTAGACCCCACTTTCCATCTCTAAATAAAAATATGTTTTGCAAATATCTTATCCATGACATATATGCATTACTATGTTAACTCATTGAGTGGCAGCACTCTCCCCCTAAAAAATATAATCGTCTGGCGTTAGAGAGTCTAGAGTAAAATAATAAAGTAGGGCGAATCTGGGTGCATTGCCACATAAAGTGTTAATCCATTGAGTAGCAGCACTCTCCCCCTGACCAGTAAAATCGTCTGGTGTTTAGACAAATTAAAATGATGATCTGGGCGCATTACCACTTAAAGGGTTAACCAAAAATTCTGACAATGTCTCTATAGTTAACCCATTGAGCCCCAGTGCGCCCTACTTATTTTTTTACTTGTCTAACGCCAGATGATTTTATTTGACATGGGGAAACTCTGCGGCTTAAACAATGCATCGGAACAGTAATTTACCATGGGTCATTATAGAAAACACCCATACCTCTCCCATGGAGGAAATCGGAAGTAACCCCCTTCCCCCTTCGAACGTTCTAATACACTAACAATTATTATAAACAAATTCCCCCCCCCCCTCGGAGTCCCTCCCAACCAGACAGTGCAAATTTCCTCCTTGGGGGGAGGGGTTGATTTTTCTGGAACGACCCAATTTTGCTGAAATACAATGTTGCAGATAATAAATTAAAATCCTCCAACTTAAGCACAATACCAGTCTTGAAAATTCCAAAGACACAGTACTTGTTCGTTTCTGGGTTGAATTCCCAGAACACTGTAAAGAAGGGGCCTGTGCCGGTTTTGCGGGATGCGTCTAAAATTGAAGTGGGATTCGGGATTTTAAGAGAAATATTGAGGGGAAGCGGGATTTTATTCCATCGCGGGAAGGGGGATTAATAATAAAAATACCATGGCGATATGCGGGAAGTAACCCATGATTAGCGGGATAAAACAACAAAACTTGTAGCTGTGCATTAGCTGATCTCAGTTGTCGTTTGTTTGTGTGCTCGAAATGTACTGTTTTCCAGGATAATATCGAACATTTGTCCCCCATCAATCCCCCATTTACATGTATGACTGCTGTTTTCATAAGGGGCCATTCACAAAGGATGTCCGAGCCGAGGGGGGGAGGGGGGTTTGGAAAATCAAGACAAACTCGGACATAGGGGGGGGTGGGGGTTAGCAATCCGGATGTCCGAAATTTAGAAAAAGTTAAAAACAAATTTCTTTTTCCCTCTATTTTGAGCAGTCCTTCCCATTGTGAAATTGGCATTTTGACTATGTGGTTAACACTAGATTTTGTTTTAATTAGTAATTTATATGTTTTTGTGTTCACATTTACAGTTATAAAAAAGTTCTAAAAGTAAAAAAAGTTTTTTACTCTTGATATATACAAGGTTGCGTGAGTTTTTGCAAGGCATGGCACAGTGTCCGGGGGAGGGGGGGTTACTAATTCGGACAAAGCCGGACAAGGGGGGGAGGGGGGGTCTGAAAATCCATCATTTGGCTGGACATCCTTTGTGAATGGCCCCTAAGAGTTGCGATTCAGAGTCATTTATTATTTTAAACTTTGTTGTATTGTATTCTAGTGTATTCAAATTGTGATTTATGTCGTTACCATGTTCTTTAAATCATAATACGTTGAACAGTGTTAGAAACGAAGTCGGGAGCGGGAAATTGGGATGAGGCATGGTGGGATAACAGGATTTGAAGTGAAAATCGGGCGGGATGGCGGGATTTCGGAACCCAGTACAGGCCCCTCTGTAAAGTAGTTCCTAAAAAGTAATATTTGTATTTTCACGACATACTTGCACAAATTAGTTCATTAGAAGAAACCTCTTATTATTTTTTATCAATCTCATTTCTGCAACCATGTGCTAGTCCAATTCCAAGCTGTTTCGATCACCTATGTTCAAACTGAATTTGTGAAATAGGTGCAACCCCCTCCTAATTAGTAAACCCCCTGAGTGAGGTTTTTATATTCAGCCTCGAGCACCGGCAGTCGAGCAAAAATTACGTGTTAAAGCCTGTATGGGCCGGGGGGCACGTCCTCCCCCCATTTTTACGGTTGGGCAAAAATCAATGTGAAATTCGGGAAAAACATAAAATTTCGAGAAAATTTTGATATGTCCTGAAAAAATATTTGTATCTTTGCGAATATTATGTGATGTTAGGGAAAATTTTCTGATATGTCTGGAAATTTTTTTTGATATAATTCTCACATGGAATTTCCAAAGGGAGGGGTAAATTTGATGGGATGAAATTCCATGGGAGGACATATGTTAGAGGGAAATTTCCGGGAGTAGATGTCCCATGATGGAAATTCCATGGGGAGGGGTAATTTACACATGGAAATTCCATGGACAGGGCCAAATTTAAATGGAAATTCCATGGGGAAGGCCTAATTTAGAATGGAAATTCCATGGGGAAGGGTAATTTTTACAAGGAATTTCCATGGGAAGGGGTAAATTTTACATGAAAATTTGCGGAATTCCAGGGGAGTACCGACATAAGAAAGGGGTTCCTCAACAGGGGGGGTGCGGATAATAATTGGAATAGCATTATGTATGCAGACCCGCATAGTTACATCAGTATGTATATGACAATTACAATAATCTGCATAATATGAGCTACTCAATATTATCGCCAATATTATCGCCAATATAATATTGATAGATTCTTCACTCAAATTTTCAAAACAATCATACCAACAAGACTAGCTTCTCAGCAAATATTCTCTTCTCAAAGTTTGCCTGACTTTTCAAGTTCTGAACGTGATTTATATTAAATACCACAGAAAAACAGACAGACATCCGGTGCTGTATGTACACAATATGTATACAGCTCAGTGGCCCCGACAACTTCGGATTTTCCCGATGTTCGCCCGAAAAACAAGATTTCTATAAGTTATGAAATAACCAGGGACGCCGGAACTGGGGGGGGGCAGGGGCGGCTGCCCCCCTTGCCTTTTGCTAGGGGGGGGGGCAGGGGGGCAGAAGTGCCCTTTTAGTTCTAAAAAAATACGTGATAAATCACATTTACAACGATGGTTTTTGTACGAAAATCATGAGATTCAGACAATTTACAGTTTATATTTGACTTCTGGTATGTCCGGAAAAACTTTTGAACCCTAAAATGGTACACTGACCGAAATGAGGTCGCCGAAATTTTTCGAGTTAAAAAAATTTCGGAAGATTTTGAAGTTTTGCTTCAGAGAGGGTGCCCTTGCTGTGGGTCCGCCCCCCTTTGCCTTATGATCGTTCCGGCGTCCCTGGTTCAAAATAAGGGCACATAAAAAAAAATAGTTGGTTAGCGTCCCCGCCCGCCCACAAAAAAGGCCCCGCTCAGGATTTTTTTAAATTTTTTATTTAAAAAAAAAAGACTTTTATTGATCAACGGGCTCTAATATATGTAGTATTTCTGTTGACTGTAGTCAATTGTGTTAATAATTTGCGAAATTGCGTGCGAAAATGACGGTATGAATTATATTTTGAAATATATAAAAAAATATCTGTACTGCGCAAGAAAATCCAGTTTCGGACCTAACAGTGAGTAAAACCAAGGCGTTAAAAATTAGTAAAAATTAAAAAAAAAGCGCCCGCCCGCTTACTTTTTGGCAAAAGCTAAGGACGCTAACCAACTATTTTTTTTTATATGGCCTAACACTTCATTTTTGTTGATTTTAAAACGTTTAGCGAGCAAAAATAGTTGTTACAATCGTGGTTGGGTCGAACGATGTGTGGAAAACGAGAATATCGAGGGTAAAGAGCAGCATAAAACTTTTAAGACTTATTTAAATATATCGAAGCAGCGAATAGAGAGAGAGAGCCTGGGACTAGGCTGGGTAAAGAGATTAAAATTGGATTTAGTGCGTATTATTGAATACTTTACACCAAATATGGTGTGATATGGTAGTCCCCTCCCCCCCCCCGCGTGTGCCCCGCGCAGTGCCCGCGCATGACACATGTGACGTCAGTTTCATACGGGACTTCACCTTCACTACCGAGTTTTTGGCGGGAAATTGTAATGTTTGAGAAGACACGATGGTGTCGGTTACTTCGTGTCATCAAAGGGCATTTTTGTTCACAAATACCCGCTTATTTTATGTCATAAGCGACTGGTTAGTTTTGGAAATTATAACTCGATGGACAGGGAAAACGATTCTGTAGTAAAGAGAGAAATACGTGCAGTATTAACCAGTTTAATATTGAATTTATATTTGTGATGTTGTTTGTTGCGATTTGTGACTTGCTTGTGAAAAGACGGCCGGAAATTTCATCGCTATACTGGATAAATGGACAACGCTTGAATGAAAGAACAGCTTGTCTTAATGGTAAGTTTTTAAAGGGTTTTTACTTTTCGGTAATATTTTTTAGTTTAATTAAAGCACTTCGCTCGTATTAAACGTTGTTTTAAAGGCCATGTATTAAAGGCCGTCGTAAACAAACGCTTTGAAAGTTTGTTTCCATTTTGAACTTAGACACTCAGTGCTATAGTTGTAAAATATGATTAGATATATATTATACTGAACTCTTAACACTCTTCTATATAAAATATAACATTCCAATGGTCGGGTCCGGAGTCCGGACCATATTGGAATGTAGCCTGCGAACAGGCTCTCTTTGAACTCTCTTTGAAATTTGAGAGAGAGCCTGCAGGCCTAGCTAAAGGTACGTTTACACGCTGCGATTTGTCGGGCCGATTTTGAAAAAAAATCGATGTCCCTTCTTCGACATTTAGCGATTTAAACGTTCAATTGAAGCTGTCCGCTCTCTCGTCTGTTCATATTATAGTTTTCTGCGTGCGAAAAGTTTTCAACAACTTTACAACGGAAGAAAAATCGTTGAATCGTGAGAAAAGCTGTGGTTTTGTTACAGATTTTTCTCCCGATTTTGTGAATCGCAATGTGCTGACGCGAGTACTCACGACAGGTTGTTTACATACAGCGAGCAAAATCGGCCCGACAAATCGCAGCGTGTAAACGTACCTTAATAAAAACGCGTCTGTGCGTTGCTTAGAACGACGCAGGGTTCCCATTGGTTGAAATTGAATTAAAGACATTATACTGCCATAAAAGGTAATTGGGTCATTCCAGAAAACATCCATACCACCCCCACAGAGGAAATAGGAAGTCAACCCCTTACCCCCTTCGGATGTCCTAATACATTTACTATTATCAGAAACAATTTTTTCTCCCCTCCCCCTCCGGACGGCAGAAATTTCCTCCGTGGGGGGAGTATGGATCTTTTCTGGAACGACCCATTAAATTTACACAACAATTATGGATTCAAATCTTAGTAATATTCTAGACGGAAACGATGTTTTAGCTGTACTATATAAGAGAGTTTGGCAAATACAACGGCAACGTTCTTATATCAGCAATAGCATCTTTACTCTAAGACAAAGGCGACTATAATTTGCATTTTTGAGCATTCTAGTACGCCGTAGTTGTTCAAACTCAAGTCGTCGCGGTGTTTATGTGAATTCACAATTACTATTGCTACTTCAGGAAATTTCAGGGTTGTTTGAAAGAAAGATAAGTGCTTTTAATGTTGTTGTAAGTGCGTTGAAATCAAGATATGCGTTTTGTTTATATTCGCAGGCTATTACATAAGGCGTGTCTGTATTAATTTGTCACATTGTATTTTACATTTGATTGACAACGCTATAAGTAGTGATGAGCACAGACGCATTTTTATTGATTAAACCGGCAGGCTCTAATTCAATTCAAAGAGCCTGTTCGCAGGCTAATTGGAATGTGGGCCCGTTGCTATCAAATCATATGCCTATAAGTATTTTCTCTTTGTTTGAATTATACGACTTTGGAACACCATTTTACATTTGTTTTATTAAAGATGCTGTATAAATTAAAGTCCGGAATGTAAACAAAAGCTTTGTTTACATTTTGAACTGCTATATTTGTAAAACATGATGTACTAACTGAATATCTAAACACTATTCTGGTTTGCTATGCTTGTATAAAGGCCCCATTTACACTATACCGGATTACTTTTTATACCAGATTAATGTTCACTCTGTTTTTGAAGTAAAGAACAAAGGTGTTTACACTATGCTGCTTCACTCTGTTTGACTGTTCCCAGGTCATGTCTTTCACTGTCGCCATGGAAACAAGAGAAACATTTTCCCCCAAAATTTAATACATTCAAATCCGGTGTTACATTACAATATTGTCATCGGCTGATTGCTCTAGCAAATTGCAACCAACACGAACAAATTGCAATTTTTACGTGTTGACAATTTATCGAAAGGTCGCACCCAAATGTCAATGCCAAGCATTTGATTGGCTTGTTTTGTACTAGTATCAGGCTTTATTTTCAAACTTGTTTCCGAATCATATTATGAACTTTTGAATTTTGCAGTTGACGGTTTAATTAATACTGTTACTGTATGTAAAAATTGTGATTTGTTTGTGTTGGTTGCAATTTGCTGGAGCAATCAGCTGATCAATACCATAAACCTCCGATTATAAGTCCTGGGCTTATATACTTTCGAAAGGAACCAGGGGGGGCTTATATATATGGGTGGGCTTATACATGGGTGGGCTTATACATGGACGATCTTTTGTGTTTAAATTAAGTAATAAACAAGTCAGTCATAAACAGGGAGTAAACATGTATTAAGCAGCGATTACTGGGCTTATATTAGACTTGCCCACAAGTAGATCTCGAATAGCAAGTGGTGAGCGTCGAAGCCACGAGATCGACTTGTCTCCCTTGCAGGAATTTGGATCTGCATGATTAAAAATTCTGGCGCGAAAATTATTACGCATGTAAGTTTCACAAAAGTTGTCGATTTCAACTCAATTTTGTAAACAGACTTTCCTTTGACTTTTCGATTGTAGATTTCCGCTCGGCTCAAATTTGAGAACACAGTAATTTCTAATGACAATAACTGTTAATAACATAAGCGAAAATAGTGCTATCAATTTGACTAAAATGCCGTATAAATTTACAGTATATTTGCACTTATTTATATGACTATATTAGTATATTTTCAAGACGATCTTTCTCCAAATTCCATGACACGTTGTGTTTACAATCCGGCAAAGACATGGAAGATGTACAATCTTTGCCAGAAACTATGGACAGCTGCTGTAATTTCATATAATTTGAAAGGAATAGCGCCCCCCGTTCCCCCAGTTCAATGTTGGGCCAACAAAAATCTGATGTCTGGATGTGCTGCGCCAACATTGAAACGGGTGGGGGGAGGAAGGGGGGAATATATGTATCAGGAAATGGTATATTGCAACTGAATGCATGTGAAAACTAGATTGTCCCAATCACACGTAATAGAAATGTATACAAATTTGCCAACTTCGCATGGCTATATTTTCCGTATTTTACAACATTTCGCAACCAAACTTTGCAGTTTTTCTAATTTTGATAACTTCTTTCAGAAAATATCCTTTGTTATTCCCAGATTAAATTTTTTTCTAAAGTGTAAGTCGTCCATTGTTAACTATAAAACCGTAACAGCCCGGTAAGCTTGAATTTTGCTTGCATTTATATGAGGAGATT